CCCTCGAGTGAATTGCAAATTTGTTACCCTAATTTTCATAATTCACGTTGAACAAAAACGTAATAGGGAAAAACAAATAGGCGTTTTTGGCGAAATGTTATTGTAATAGACTATTATTACAAAGAACTCTTAATTACAATGATCTCGCCTACAACAACAACTTGCATTTATATAGCACCCTCCAAGCTGGGCAATGTCTCAGAGTGCTTGAACCTACCCTGTAGACTTAAGGTTTCCTTAATCTTTTAGCTTTAAGGGCTTTTGTTTATTTACTCACAGGCAGTGCTGTTTTATGCTATTACACATTAAGATTTAAAAACAAATGAAACCAAAATACAAAATCAATTTAAAGAAATGAGCCTTTGGTCAGTCTCTGCAACAGTAAGCAACAATTTAGCATCCAAGTCCTCTCTCACGATCATGGCATCAGAGCTCATAACCAAGTAACAACTTCAACTTATATAGCTCCCCTCACATAAGATAGCGTCCTAGAGCTTGATATTAACTCACTTGCTCTCTTCTCCCTCCCCCCACCGCAAATCTTCTGACAAAAATTTGAACATGAGAGCAATTTCGTTTTAGAAAATGTTGGAAGATAAGAAGGTACTTTTTTGTCAGCCAAACAAGAAATAAATATACACATCTCCCAACAAGCTTTTTCTCCCTTTCCAAGAAAATAGGTTAAAACCAAGAATAACCTTGACCGATTATGCAAAAACAATTGCTCAGTGAAGCCAACACAGATGCCCAAGAACAATTATAAACCAGTTGTTTCATCAAAGTGTTCAGATGAAGGCACTAGAATCAATTCTAGTCACAGTTTTTTCGTGGCGGGTTAACGCCATTTTAGATTCACATTATAACTGGTCCACAAAAGGCGGCCACTAGTCCGCTTCTGACTCAAGTCACTGCTGACTTCATGTTTGGCTTCTGGGTTAGCCAACTCCCTCCCTGCAAGTAGCCACCTGCAACAACTCACAAACATTTCTAGCACTAGAAGTTCCTCCATGTTTATAGGACATCTGTATTACAAACAGGTCTAAGTTCCAATGAGATACGTTGTACTGAGGTTGCCCTTATCTAATATATATGAAATTTATTGGTCGGGTGGGGCACAGGAGTTTATATATACAAATTTGAGCTTCATTCAGCTATCAGCTATGGTCCCAGGCATCTTGACAGATTTTATTAAGGTGATCTAAGCCAAATCCAACACTAAAGAATAAGAATTCCAATGTAATTACAACAAACGATTTATCACATAATAATTCAAGAGTGAACAGAAATGTTTTAGAGTATTATATAAAATTAAATGCCAAATTACCATAAGAATATTGGCTGAGGGTCGGGTCAGTTTCTGGTGCTTGCAGTTTGTAGTTCAGATAGCTAGCCAAATCCTTCACCCAAACAGAGGGATTTCCAGGGAACAGGTTCTGACTTTTATCCAGCTGTTCCTGGAGTTCTTTCAAATCAAGCTGGACAGAAGCAAGAGACACAAGATGATTAGATTCAGGACAACTGCTATTTTAAAGGAAAGTAAAACTGGTCTCTCTCACAGTTAATTGGGTTTATATTTCTCTCTTAATCCAAATTTACCCCTGAATTATACATCTCTCTCCAGGTTTATATTAAAATCTTCAGTTCAATAACGGGTCAGAATAATCAGCTATATTTATGGAACACAATTTTGTGTTTTTCTTAAATTAAATGCAAAAAATACATTAACACCTGGAGAAAAATATTGGATTATAAAAACAAAACGTACTGCATTCATAATTAAAGCTACTAGAAAATCAGTCTTTGTACATTGCCAACTTGTTTAACACACCGTTAGAGGCCACTGCATAATAATTTAAGTAAAAATATTGCAAATTTATAGATGTTTGATTCAACAGGGAAGATGGCAGAGGCTCACTGTCAAGATATAAATCAAATAATGTTACAGCTGCTGAACCTGTATCCAAAACAGTCCAAACAACTAATGTTAAAAGACAGCTTCTCAATTCTAGTTTGGTTCTTACATCAAATGCCCCACTACTGTATGCTCTGAAGCAGTCGGGCAAATGGCAAGAGAAACTTCAGAAAAATGTTGGATCTGCATGTAATTTGAGCAAGATTTGAGGCTTCTAATAAAAGAAAAAGTTCAATTTTGATACTGGTTAAAGCTGGTTGAATAAAGCAATAGAGGATCCATAATATAACACAAGACTTTCATGAGTTCTTTACAGGCAAATAAAACCATTCTATTGAGATACTATACTTTAGATATACATACAGCTTTAACAGCAGCCTCCAAGGAAGGAAAGGTCCTTGGCTTCTGGCCTGCATCACCTCCACCAACACCACCTCCACCAGCAGCTCCAGGCTTCTTCAATAGCTTTCCTCCCGAGGCTGCTTTATGCTGGTGTTGCTGAGGGCCTGATGTCGGAGGAACTTGCTCTTTGTTCTGCTTCTTTCCCATTTTTTCAAAGCCAAGCTCAAAAATGGTTTCAGCAGGTTTCAAAGGAGCTGTGTGTAAAAATAAATACTGTACAGGACTGTATATCATCTTCAAATACATGCACAAACACAAAATTAAAAAAGTTTGAAAGTCAGCTTGGCAATAAAAATCCATTTCCATCTGGGACAGGGACCGGTGATGTTCCACAGTGGCTGGTTTATGGTATCCCAATATTCAAACTATCCCTAAACAGTATTCATTGATCCAATCCACGTGGCCAATGACCAGTAAAAAGACAGGACTAATGATAATCCTTGTGTTTATTATCTTACTTCAGTGAGACCTCTCAAAGTGCTTCACAGTGTTTACTGTAAAGTGGTGACTTTAATTTGTAGGCACAGTCCCTCTGAACAGGCAGATAGGATCTTGATTTAACTTCTCATCAGAAGGATGGCACCTCCGACAATGCAGCACACTGCACTGGACTGTCAACCAAGACTGCGTTCCAAGTCCCAATGTGGGGATTGAACCCACAATGTTCTGACTCAAGAGTGCTGCCAATCAACACTCTTAGATAGATAGTGAATGAATACTGAATAGCATATTGAGCAACAGATGTCAGAATCAAGTCAACCCTCTGTGGCAGTCTCAGTTCCTGAACCAGGTGGGTCTGCAGTACTCTCGGGCACTGCCGATGACAGCACAGCCATCCTGACTCATGGATAGGACTTGGTTGACCAAAAACAAAAGCACAAGTTGAAATACAATCGGATCTGACAGGACACGCAATTCAATAAAGTATCCAGTCAACGAGGCTTATCATCACATACAGTACTGGGATCTATCTCGAGGACATCAAATTCCAAGTCAAACAAGATTATTGTGATTACAAAATGAACACAATACAAATCTAGAGCAAGATTAAGATGAAATTTCCCCACGGAGATATAGCATATGTTAGCACAAATTCTCAACCAAAGCTAATGTTACATTATTGGTTAAGAACAGAACTAAAGACATGGACAAGTACTTCACACAATGCTCAACCTGGGACTATCACAAGGCAATCAGCAGCTTGAAAGAGTTGCACAGCACAATGTCTACTTTTCTTATTGCACTGGGACTTAAGATTTGTTTTCCTCTTTCCCCTCTCCCCAACAGAGCTACACATTATCCACAGCATTGATAGGAAGTCATATGTGGATTCACATGATGCCAAAAGAATTTCTTAAAGAGACAACATCCCTTTGGACATTGCAACAATCCTGTACAAGTATGACCAAATCCCAAAATTACCAGCAGTTATAAAATGTAAGGCAAGGCTGCACTCACTGTTAGGATCTCTTATAGTGGAACTGAAAGCCTTATATTAAAGGGTGAAATGTAATCTTCTAAAGGTTTACAGTACAGTAAACCTCACATAAGTTGCATCAGTTTAGACCATACATTTAATATGACTTGTGCCAAGTCCGAGTTTGTCAAACTTGCATAGAATGTAAACGCGTGAACAGGATTTGGACAGATGTATGACTCGGCTGATTATACGATTTGTACAGATCAGACTTATGCAAGTTTTACTGTAATAGATATTTTATTGTCAAAATTCAAACCAAAGAAAAGCAAGAGTTCCAGAGGTGAAGACAACTGTGTCCAATCACATGCCGCTTTCAGGAGGGGATCTCTGTATGGTTAGAAATGAAAGACATAGAAATGTACATATTAACATGACTATTTTAGTATCATTTTGTTTAACTTAATATGCCATATATTGATGTTTCGTTTGTAATGCAAAAAGTCATGCCCAGATGAGGCTGAACAAACTGCAGATACAAGCTCCTAGCCTGCAATTTAGACTCATTTCCTAGAAAGCGTACGGTGTATCACTTCATTGTGGGTTCACAGAATGAGAAATCTCCATTTGCAATATGCAAGCATTTCATCCAGCAAACAAAAGACACTCGTGCTTCTGCTTAAACTTTTTGAAACTTTCAACAACACTCAGCTTCCACACAAATGTTTGCCTCTGGCAGATATACAAAGTGAAGAGATTTGGGTTAGCAACACATTTATAACTGGAGATGTCACTGTAGTCTTGCTGCACATTGTGTTTAAATAGCACCTTAATCCAGCATTGTCAAACCATACAATCACGAGCACATGTGGCTCGTGAGGGTCTCTGTGTGGCTCGTAGCCACCTCAACTTCAACAGAAAGCACGGGTCTCAGATAATTCCCGCTGACAATTTTCTTACAGACATTTGCGTGGCTAGTTAAATATGTTATACACGCAAGGTAAAAATTACTCTGGTCAGAACTTTTGAATATTGAATTGAAATAGTCATCGAAAATAATTCTTGTCTGAATAACTGAACAACTACAACATCTTGCACTTGTATAGCACCCTCCACACAGGTTAGCGTCTCAGAGCGCTTAACAATGGCAGAGCCTTACTCCATGCTGGGGGGACGGACAGTAAGCACGGTCTTCAGGTGGGACTTGAAAGAGGGGAGAGGGGGGCAAGGAGGAAGGATAGAGGACGAGTGTTCCAGAGTTTTGGGGCGTAGTGGCTTAAAGCGCGACATCCGATGGTGGGATGGAGGGTGCGAAGGACGAGCAGGAGGCACGGTCCAGATGAATCATCTCCCGAGCAGGATGAGGTCATTTGGGACTGCCCTGACTTTGAATTTTTGTGCTACAGAGTTAAAGAAACTGCTGTTTGTTTTATTATTCAATCGCATCAAAGTGATTGTGTATGCATGTAACCCCAGTTTTCATTTCAGGATAATTATATTTATTGAAGAAATTTCAATAATGATTCTTCAAGGTACTTCAAATAATAATAATATAATTATTACGGTTCTACTGGTCTCAAACAGGGACATGCTGTATAATTCATACCATACTTAATTAAAAAGAGTAAAAGTGACTGCCGTATTTTTATTTGTAAATCATGCTGGTTATACTTATCAATATTGGATATAAGATATGCAAGAAATGGAAATAAATTGGTCTTTTCCCTGGATACATTTTATTAATGTTACAAAAGCTTTTTGACTCAAACTTCATCTGACAAAAAAATTTAAACCTTAATTAAGGCAAGTTTTTAGTTTTTTAAAAATTCAGCCGAACATGCAGGCTTAATTGTTTTCCATCAGAAGATAATCTATGAAATGAATCCCCTAGATGCTCATTCTGGAAAAAAAAAGTATTTCATTACAATTTCTTCACTCTTTTAGTTTTGTAATGCTCATCACATGGGATTGTAAGCTGTTTTAAGAATACAGAGTGAAGCAAGAGAGTATCACTTTAAAGTGCATTTCCTGAGTTAATAAGAACATCCATCTTTCAATGTGCCACTAAATCATAGTGTGGTAACTAATTTGGTGGAACATTGAAAGATAGAAAACACTTCATCAGTAATTTTATGCAGTTCTATAATAATTAGTAACTGACAAAAATGCAAAGGGCTTTAATTTGTGCCTAGCAATAATATAATAATCCTTGAATTTAACAATCCCTGCATTTGATACACTGCCCTTTTACATCGGGAGGAAGTATCAAAGTACTTCACAAGATTTATTAATAATAATTCTTACATTTGGTACAGTAAAACTCACATAGTCTTATCTTTATAAATCGTACATGCACCCGGGTCCCATTCAGTTTTCTATCAAAAAACACTTAGATGTCTTCCACTAGTTGTGTTTTAAAAGCAAATCATCTCGTAATACCCACCGCTACTGCACTTATTGGTTGCATTGAATCGCAGGAAATTAAGTTCTGACCTGTCGACACATGCACAGTTATTGGCTTTATTAAAGTAAGCATGCACAGTGTAGATTATTGATTAAATCAGATTTTATACAACAGATACTTTGCAGATGTTTTATAAGGTACCACATAATAAACTAGTTAGCAGAATTGAAGCCCATGGGATAAAAGGGACAGTGGTAGCGTGAATACAAAATTGGCTGGGAGGCAGGGGCTAGTGGTGAATGGTTGATTTTCAGGCTGAAGGGAAGTATACAATGATGTACCCCAGGGGTCGGCATTAGGTCCACTGCTCTTTTGATATATTTGAATGACTTGGACTTAAGTTTGCAGATGACACTAAACTTGGGAACGTGGTAAACAGTGAGGAGGATGGTAGCAGACTGCAGGAGGACATAGATAGACTGGTGAAATGGGCAGACACATGGCAGGTGAAGTTTAATGCAGAGAAGTGTGAGGAGATGCATTTTTGGAGGAAGAATGAGGAGAGGCAATAAACGGTACAGTTTTAAACGGGTATAAAAACAGAGAGACCTGGGAGGGTTCACAAAGACAGGTCTTTGAGGGTGGCAGGACAGGTTTTTTTTAATATGCTTTTTTAACAGCTCAATCAACTGTCCTGCCAATTTCAAAAGGGAATTAGATAGGTACCTGAAAAGGAAAAATTTGCAAGGATATGGGAAAAGGGAGTGGTACTGATTGGGTAGCTCTTCCAATAACCAGCACAGGCACGATGAGCCGAATGGCCTCCTTCTGTGCTGTAATATTCTATGCTATTATATGTTACAGTCCCGATTGATACGACTTAGATGAGTTTTACTGTATAGCACCTTTAACGTTGAGAGGCGGTCTCAAAGCACTTCACTGAATTTTACTGTGAAGTGTAGTGACTATATATCACTACACTTCACAGTAAAATTCAGCAACCAATTTACACTCGGCAATGTCCCACAAACAGCAATGATATACAAATGCAAGGATTAATAGTAATTGTGAGATGACTTTGACAGATCAAGACTGCAGTAAGTATTAAGTTTTTTAAATGATGATGCAGTATAAATTTGCTGCAAATATAGATTTTATTACAATTGGCTACAATTGATTGTAATGAACTTTGCTGAGGAAAACATTGTAAATGTTTACAAAATCAGGAAGAAAGCAGTCTATAATCGATTTCTGAATAATCTTGTGAAGCCTGAATCACTTACCTGAATGACAATGGAACTCCATTGACGATGGAGAATTATTTCAATTAAAAAGATAATTACTGCCAGTTCGTTAGGATTATACATTTAGAGTTAATAATACTTGTCCTAAACAATAGTTTCCCTTCAGATACTGTAATTTGTAAGCAACCATGTTTACATTCCTGCTAATAATCAAAAAATAAATGAAGTAATTTTCTTTCTAATATTTTTTTTGATCCAAAGCTAATGGAACTGAAGTTGACTGTGGATGGCCTTGAGAAGGAGAGAGATTTTTACTTCAGTAAACTAAGGGACATTGAACTCATCTGCCAAGAACATGAAAGTGACAACCCCATTGTCATTCAGAAGATTGTGGAGATCCTGTATGCTACTGAGGTGGATATTGTCATTACTATATACCATTCTTTTATTAAGCGGGAGGTGTTGATTACATTGACATTTTTGCTCGTCTTTTATGTGTAGTAGATACAGGGTGCTGTTGGACGAGATCGCAATACATTGCGATGATTTTCTTCTGCCCTTATAAGAACCACATAATGGAGTCAAAAGTTTGGTTCCCTAATTAAGGAACAAGGTGAAAGTGCATTTTTAAATTCCTCCCAATTTCTGAATAATGGTAGTGGCCAAAGTTGGAGTAGGCTATACCATGTCACTTTTGTTTAGGCCCATTTGAACAGATCTATCAAACTCTGTGTAAATTTAATTAATCTTGGTAGGGGCATTATCAGTTACATGAGTGTTCCAGGTTAGGTAATTATAATTTAATTGTAATTACTCTGACCGTGCCTCCTGCTCGTCCTTCGCACCCTCCATCCCACCATCGGATGTCGCGCTTTAAGCCACTACGCCCCAAAACTCTGGAACACTCGTCCTCTATCCTTCCTCCTTGCCCCCCCTCTCCCCTCTTTCAAGTCCCACCTGAAGACCGTGCTTACTGTCCGTCCCCCCAGCATGGAGTAAGGCTCTGCCATTGTTAAGCGCTCTGAGACGCTAACCTGTGTGGAGGGTGCTATACAAGTGCAAGATGTTGTAGTTGTTCAGTTATTCAGACAAGAATTATTTTCGATGACTATTTCAATTCAATATTCAAAAGTTCTGACCAGAGTAATTTTTACCTTGCGTGTATAACATATTTAACTAGCCACGCAAATGTCTGTAAGAAAATTGTCAGCGGGAATTATCTGAGACCCGTGCTTTCTGTTGAAGTTGAGGTGGCTACGAGCCACACAGAGACCCTCACGAGCCACATGTGCTCGTGATTGTATGGTTTGACAATGCTGGATTAAGGTGCTATTTAAACACAATGTGCAGCAAGACTACAGTGACATCTCCAGTTATAAATGTGTTGCTAACCCAAATCTCTTCACTTTGTATATCTGCCAGAGGCAAACATTTGTGTGGAAGCTGAGTGTTGTTGAAAGTTTCAAAAAGTTTAAGCAGAAGCACGAGTGTCTTTTGTTTGCTGGATGAAATGCTTGCATATTGCAAATGGAGATTTCTCATTCTGTGAACCCACAATGAAGTGATACACCGTACGCTTTCTAGGAAATGAGTCTAAATTGCAGGCTAGGAGCTTGTATCTGCAGTTTGTTCAGCCTCATCTGGGCATGACTTTTTGCATTACAAACGAAACATCAATATATGGCATATTAAGTTAAACAAAATGATACTAAAATAGTCATGTTAATATGTACATTTCTATGTCTTTCATTTCTAACCATACAGAGATCCCCTCCTGAAAGCGGCATGTGATTGGACACAGTTGTCTTCACCTCTGGAACTCTTGCTTTTCTTTGGTTTGAATTTTGACAATAAAATATCTATTACAGTAAAACTTGCATAAGTCTGATCTGTACAAATCGTATAATCAGCCGAGTCATACATCTGTCCAAATCCTGTTCACGCGTTTACATTCTATGCAAGTTTGACAAACTCGGACTTGGCACAAGTCATATTAAATGTATGGTCTAAACTGATGCAACTTATGTGAGGTTTACTGTACTGTAAACCTTTAGAAGATTACATTTCACCCTTTAATATAAGGCTTTCAGTTCCACTATAAGAGATCCTAACAGTGAGTGCAGCCTTGCCTTACATTTTATAACTGCTGGTAATTTTGGGATTTGGTCATACTTGTACAGGATTGTTGCAATGTCCAAAGGGATGTTGTCTCTTTAAGAAATTCTTTTGGCATCATGTGAATCCACATATGACTTCCTATCAATGCTGTGGATAATGTGTAGCTCTGTTGGGGGAGAGGGGAAAGAGGAAAACAAATCTTAAGTCCCAGTGCAATAAGAAAAGTAGACATTGTGCTGTGCAACTCTTTCAAGCTGCTGATTGCCTTGTGATAGTCCCAGGTTGAGCATTGTGTGAAGTACTTGTCCATGTCTTTAGTTCTGTTCTTAACCAATAATGTAACATTAGCTTTGGTTGAGAATTTGTGCTAACATATGCTATATCTCCGTGGGGAAATTTCATCTTAATCTTGCTCTAGATTTGTATTGTGTTCATTTTGTAATCACAATAATCTTGTTTGACTTGGAATTTGATGTCCTCGAGATAGATCCCAGTACTGTATGTGATGATAAGCCTCGTTGACTGGATACTTTCATTGAATTGCGTGTCCTGTCAGATCCGATTGTATTTCAACTTGTGCTTTTGTTTTTGGTCAACCAAGTCCTATCCATGAGTCAGGATGGCTGTGCTGTCATCGGCAGTGCCCGAGAGTACTGCAGACCCACCTGGTTCAGGAACTGAGACTGCCACAGAGGGTTGACTTGATTCTGACATCTGTTGCTCAATATGCTATTCAGTATTCATTCACTATCTATCTAAGAGTGTTGATTGGCAGCACTCTTGAGTCAGAACATTGTGGGTTCAATCCCCACATTGGGACTTGGAACGCAGTCTTGGTTGACAGTCCAGTGCAGTGTGCTGCATTGTCGGAGGTGCCATCCTTCTGATGAGAAGTTAAATCAAGATCCTATCTGCCTGTTCAGAGGGACTGTGCCTACAAATTAAAGTCACCACTTTACAGTAAACACTGTGAAGCACTTTGAGAGGTCTCACTGAAGTAAGATAATAAACACAAGGATTATCATTAGTCCTGTCTTTTTACTGGTCATTGGCCACGTGGATTGGATCAATGAATACTGTTTAGGGATAGTTTGAATATTGGGATACCATAAACCAGCCACTGTGGAACATCACCGGTCCCTGTCCCAGATGGAAATGGATTTTTATTGCCAAGCTGACTTTCAAACTTTTTTAATTTTGTGTTTGTGCATGTATTTGAAGATGATATACAGTCCTGTACAGTATTTATTTTTACACACAGCTCCTTTGAAACCTGCTGAAACCATTTTTGAGCTTGGCTTTGAAAAAATGGGAAAGAAGCAGAACAAAGAGCAAGTTCCTCCGACATCAGGCCCTCAGCAACACCAGCATAAAGCAGCCTCGGGAGGAAAGCTATTGAAGAAGCCTGGAGCTGCTGGTGGAGGTGGTGTTGGTGGAGGTGATGCAGGCCAGAAGCCAAGGACCTTTCCTTCCTTGGAGGCTGCTGTTAAAGCTGTATGTATATCTAAAGTATAGTATCTCAATAGAATGGTTTTATTTGCCTGTAAAGAACTCATGAAAGTCTTGTGTTATATTATGGATCCTCTATTGCTTTATTCAACCAGCTTTAACCAGTATCAAAATTGAACTTTTTCTTTTATTAGAAGCCTCAAATCTTGCTCAAATTACATGCAGATCCAACATTTTTCTGAAGTTTCTCTTGCCATTTGCCCGACTGCTTCAGAGCATACAGTAGTGGGGCATTTGATGTAAGAACCAAACTAGAATTGAGAAGCTGTCTTTTAACATTAGTTGTTTGGACTGTTTTGGATACAGGTTCAGCAGCTGTAACATTATTTGATTTATATCTTGACAGTGAGCCTCTGCCATCTTCCCTGTTGAATCAAACATCTATAAATTTGCAATATTTTTACTTAAATTATTATGCAGTGGCCTCTAACGGTGTGTTAAACAAGTTGGCAATGTACAAAGACTGATTTTCTAGTAGCTTTAATTATGAATGCAGTACGTTTTGTTTTTATAATCCAATATTTTTCTCCAGGTGTTAATGTATTTTTTGCATTTAATTTAAGAAAAACACAAAATTGTGTTCCATAAATATAGCTGATTATTCTGACCCGTTATTGAACTGAAGATTTTAATATAAACCTGGAGAGAGATGTATAATTCAGGGGTAAATTTGGATTAAGAGAGAAATATAAACCCAATTAACTGTGAGAGAGACCAGTTTTACTTTCCTTTAAAATAGCAGTTGACCTGAATCTAATCATCTTGTGTCTCTTGCTTCTGTCCAGCTTGATTTGAAAGAACTCCAGGAACAGTTGGATAAAAGTCAGAACCTGTTCCCTGGAAATCCCTCTGTTTGGGTGAAGGATTTGGCTAGCTATCTGAACTACAAACTGCAAGCACCAGAAACTGACCCGACCCTCAGCCAATATTCTTATGGTAATTTGGCATTTAATTTTATATAATACTCTAAAACATTTCTGTTCACTCTTGAATTATTATGTGATAAATCGTTTGTTGTAATTACATTGGAATTCTTATTCTTTAGTGTTGGATTTGGCTTAGATCACCTTAATAAAATCTGTCAAGATGCCTGGGACCATAGCTGATAGCTGAATGAAGCTCAAATTTGTATATATAAACTCCTGTGCCCCCACCCGACCAATAAATTTCATATATATTAGATAAGGGCAACCTCAGTACAACGTATCTCATTGGAACTTAGACCTGTTTGTAATACAGATGTCCTATAAACATGGAGGAACTTCTAGTGCTAGAAATGTTTGTGAGTTGTTGCAGGTGGCTACTTGCAGGGAGGGAGTTGGCTAACCCAGAAGCCAAACATGAAGTCAGCAGTGACTTGAGTCAGAAGCGGACTAGTGGCCGCCTTTTGTGGACCAGTTATAATGTGAATCTAAAATGGCGTTAACCCGCCACGAAAAAACTGTGACTAGAATTGATTCTAGTGCCTTCATCTGAACACTTTGATGAAACAACTGGTTTATAATTGTTCTTGGGGCATCTGTGTTGGCTTCACTGAGCAATTGTTTTTGCATAATCGGTCAAGGTTATTCTTGGTTTTAACCTATTTTCTTGGAAAGGGAGAAAAAGCTTGTTGGGAGATGTGTATATTTATTTCTTGTTTGGCTGACAAAAAAGTACCTTCTTATCTTCCAACATTTTCTAAAACGAAATTGCTCTCATGTTCAAATTTTTGTCAGAAGATTTGCGGTGGGGGGAGGGAGAAGAGAGCAAGTGAGTTAATATCAAGCTCTAGGACGCTATCTTATGTGAGGGGAGCTATATAAGTTGAAGTTGTTACTTGGTTATGAGCTCTGATGCCATGATCGTGAGAGAGGACTTGGATGCTAAATTGTTGCTTACTGTTGCAGAGACTGACCAAAGGCTCATTTCTTTAAATTGATTTTGTATTTTGGTTTCATTTGTTTTTAAATCTTAATGTGTAATAGCATAAAACAGCACTGCCTGTGAGTAAATAAACAAAAGCCCTTAAAGCTAAAAGATTAAGGAAACCTTAAGTCTACAGGGTAGGTTCAAGCACTCTGAGACATTGCCCAGCTTGGAGGGTGCTATATAAATGCAAGTTGTTGTTGTAGGCGAGATCATTGTAATTAAGAGTTCTTTGTAATAATAGTCTATTACAATAACATTTCGCCAAAAACGCCTATTTGTTTTTCCCTATTACGTTTTTGTTCAACGTGAATTATGAAAATTAGGGTAACAAATTTGCAATTCACTCGAGGGTAGGTCTAAGGTCCCAGGCTGTTATATCTGAAGAATATGTTAAAGTAAACTGTCTGCCTTTTTGAATTCAATTGTGGTGTTCATTTTTTTTTGCATCTATTTATGTAGTTTGAGTTGCTTTAACAACAACAAAATTACATTTGTATAGTGCTTTTCACGTCAGGAGGAAGTCCCAAGGTGCTGGACAGTCAGTGTTTCAGTCCCGAGCTGGGGGTAGTGATTGGGGAGGGCGGCGGGCGGAGCCGGATGATCGAAAGCACGATCAAAGAAGAGGGTCTTGAAGGAAACCAGGCAGGGGGCGAGGCGGAGGAACTGCATGATGGTGTGCCAGAGGGTGGGGGCAGTTTAAAACTGCAATATAGGCCCACAGGCTCTAGAGTAGTAAAGGGTACTTTCCAATGCTTCACAATACTCTATTCTGATTGGGTTGCTGCTAAGGGAAATAAATTCTTCATTCACAATTCATGAAAATGTGTTATCTCCATAAAGCAGTACTTGCATTTGTAACTTAAACAGCCTTGCAGTAGCCAAGAATTTTTATTTTCAACGTTTCTTAAAATTCCCTTTATTTGCAGACTATCCATACAACCTTGCTGGGAAGGAGCTTCGGAACATTATTAAATCACTGTTAACAAAAGCAGGTGATACCCTGGAGCACTTCTTTGACCATTGCATTTACACAATGTTGCGTGAACAGGATAAGACTTCAGGTAAGTAACTAGATTTTATATACCTGGTCTAGCCTACTTGTATTTTTACTTCTAATTTTCTCCTCTTGGCACACTGGGGGGAGGGGGTGATTTTAATGAGTCATTTTAAGTATGTAAGGGCTTATACTACTTTATTATCATGCCAGTCTGAAAAATATATCTTTACTGACTCTCTGCTTTTCTTTCGCCATCTCCTTATCTGTTCCCAATGTCCATTCCGTCAATCCCTCATTTTTTGCAACAGGTCTCTTATGTGGCACTCCGTACCTTTTTAAAAATCCATATGCATTAGATCCACTTTTCTTTGTATTCCCTAAAGGTTTTATTTCCTCTAAAAATGTAATTACATTATCAAACTGATCTGCCTTGTCTAAATGTGTGCAGGGTGTCCTGCCATGATCAAACCACTCCTGTCACCTTGCATTTATTTGATCTCTTACTATGGACTAATTTTTCTGTTATTTGGATAAAGGCCAAACAGTATGATGTTCTGATTACTGACTCTAAGTGTGGCTCAGTGGACTTGTTAGATTTATATTTGTGAAGGGAAACCAGTCATTTTGAAGTGTTAACTCGGCAGCATACAGTTTCTCAAGTCCTGTGAGCTGTGCTATCTTATCTCTAGCTCATTCTGTTCAAGACAGCATAATAGTATCCAGACACTGTAAACTAGCTGATGCAGTACGATGTAGTGAGCATTTGGGTGATGTGCCAAATATTACTACTAAATGCCATTGCAAAAATATTTGCCATAGTCAGCTTTTTACTGTTATAACTGCAGTAAGTGCCAACAAAATGAATCCTGCATTTTTTTTATTCTTTGAAAAGGCCCAATGGAAATAGAATTCCCATTTATTTCTTAATACCCCAGTCCATGGTATGTAAAGAAAGATCTAGTGAGAAATAATTTAGATTTTGAGAAAAGTATAATTGTGAAAGATGTCCTGTAAAGGTCCTCCCACCACGCTAAAGGCAAATTTGTCAAATTGCTGATGAGGAATTTTTAAGGCTGGAGTTAACAGCTGCTGGAACGCATAGTGTCCAGTTCCAGGAAAGCCTGCCGGTTGGTATCCATGACTTAATATATTCCTTGATTGGCATGCAGAGAGATAAGCTCTGCACTTCCAACTAGTGGAAGCCCCATTCAGTGGGTTGAGGCCTGGACCTGAGCTCAGATGATAGCAGTGCTCTCACACTGGCATCTGCTATGCACCTACTGAGGCTTTTTTATGGCAGTCTCGGGAGCCTGGTTTGTGAGCCAAGGAGGATCCGCAGTACTCCAGGGCCCTGCTGACGACTGACTCGGAAGGACTTGAAGGGTAGACTGACTAATAATAATAATCCTTGGATTTGATGTAGCATCTTATCACGTCTTCTAGACGTCTCAAAGCGCTGCACAGAATATGCTGTAAAGTGCTTGACTGAATGTTTTGTGGACAAAACGCAGCAGCACAGCTGCGTCTCACAAACAGTCATGGATTGAGCAACCTAATTTTTTTAAAAAAATTCATGTGACTGTATTACAGCAAAGCCTTTTCTGAAGACAATAATAATCCTATAATAATAATCCTTGCATTTGATGTAGCACCTTATCACATTGTCAATAAGCACTTCATAATAATCATAATAAGACAATCATGGAGTCTGGGGGATGGGTCAACAGGCATCCTCTGGCACCTCACCCATTTTTCAAGTATGAGCCCAGCAGGTGAGTATTGGCCGGTTGTAGAGGGCATCACCTCACAGCTGAACCCGATGCTGCTTTCAATCAATATCCACATCCCGTGTGTCAGCCTGGCTCAGTGGTGGCACTTTCATCTCCTAGGTAGAAGGTTGTGGGTTCAAGCCCCACGTCAGGACTTGGAGTCACATTGTCTAAGCCAGGGTTGTCCACCATTTTGGCTGTTGAGTGCCAGATGCGGCCCGAGAGTTGCCAGTTGGACCACCCTGTCAGAGCTGACATCCAATGGAGAGGCCCATTGGTTGCTGCGAAGAGGGATTCTTCTTACTCCTATTAACCTTGAAGCCAAAGCTCTAACCAGTATGCTGGACCTAATTAGACAAGCAATGAGAAGCTTGCCAAACAGTTATTACAATATAAGCAATGAGGTAAATAATAATAATCCTTGCATTTGATATAGCACGTTATCACATCTTCGAGTCGTCTCAAAGCGCTTCACAGAATATACTGTAAAGTGAAGTGACTGTATATTTTGTGGGCAAAATAGGTACCTCAGTACTCACATTAAGCCTTGGTTTCGCCCACAAATATACAGTCAATTCACTTTACAGCATATTCTGTGAAGCGCTTTGAGACGTCTAGAAGACGTGAAAAGCGCTATATCAAATGCAAGGATTATTATTATTATTGGTTCCTGCCAATCTGCACCTAATTTATAAACATTGAGTCCCTTTGGGGAGAGAGTCTGCACTCCATTCCAGACAAATTTCTATGTATAGGTGACGTGCATATGTGGAACTCATTTTGGTTATTCTTGAGCATAGTGATGAGTTTCTGCATGTCATTCATCTGGCTAACAAAAAAGTCAAAATAAGCCTCAGAATGACTTAAAAGCCTATTTCCCTTTTTCTTTAGACCTGTAAATGTTACCTGGATGTTAAATCAAGTATAGTTTTAGGTGGAAATGTAAAATATGGGATTATATTTAGTTTGGGGATTAGTTTTGTAACTATGAATTCTAGATTACATTCCCTTCAGATATTCAGGTAGACTTTTATTAACCTACGTCTGTTCATTTCTGCTCTGTCAATCATTTAACCTTTCTTCACTTGTTCAAAAATATTCATAATGCAGAAAAGTTGAAAGAAGTGCCCAACTACACTGCTCATAGTGTTATAATCAGAAGTCCATTGTAGCCCTCCTTAACTCTATGGAGCCTCCTTCATCAGAACATCTTTTTAAGTGATAAATCACTTGCCTCTTTCAGGTGAATCTTTGCATGGCTTCAGAATTTGTATTCAAGCTATATTGCTGGACACACCTAAAATTGGAACAATGAATCTGGGGAAGGTAAGTACAGAATATTACTCCAAATTCTACAAATGTTTTGAAAACTAGACATCTTGAGGTTTCACAAACTACAGTAGAACCCTGTTATAACACACTTCATTATAATGTGGGTTTGTTTATACTGTAATGTGATTGAGTTGTGGACCCTGACATTTTCTTTCTTAAAAATCCAAAATTGTGACATTCAAATCTATCGTCCTGCTGCAAATCCTGTTGTTTTGCTTCAAAACTGGTGAGAACAATGATAGATTTGAAGTACACTGACTCGTTTTGAAGCCAAGATATCAAGAGCCGTGTGTGATGATGGATCCGGCTGGCTTTCTGCACAGATGCACAATGATGTCCTTGGTTGTGAGTACTGATGTTCCAATGCGGGAACACCGATCAGCAGCTGGTCTTGGCCATTCTCTGTTATAAGGTGGATTGGGATTTTATAGACCCCAGCTACCACCTTTATAAGGGGTTCTATTTGATCTACCAAAAATAGACATGCACAGAATGCTGACTGATGAGCAGAACTATTATACCCTCGCACTTCCCTACCTATCCAATAAGCGCTCTGAGATGCTGTCCAGCATCCAAGTTGTTGTTGTTACACCTCACTCCACCACCCGCTGTCTCCGCTCAGCTGGCTCCAGCCTCCTGCTTGTCCCTCGTCCCCTCCACTCCACCCTCGGCGACTGTGTCTTCAGCCACTCCTCTCTGAAACTCTGGAGCTCTTTCTCTCAATCCCTCCGCCTTGCCCCCGTGCTTGATCGGGCTTAAGGTCACCTCCCCTTCCCTCTCCCCCTGGCTCGGTGTTAGACTCCGCCATTGTCAAGCGCTCTGAGATGCTACCCTGTGTTAAGGGTGCTGTATAACCACAAGTTGTTGTTATTAGGTTCTTTTTCCTTTCAACCTACAATCTCGACATTAATTACATTTTTGTATTCAATCTATTTTCAGTTGGATTGACTTTTTCATGGAAAATAATCGTTTTCACAAATACTGCTTGCAGTCCACTACCCATATTCTGGGTTTAGGGGGAATTTTAATAACAATTTTCATTTATATAGCGAGGATAGTGTCCCAGAGCTCTTGACAGTGGCAGAGCACGACACTGAGCTTGGGTGGGAGTTGATGGTAGGCACGGTCAAAGAGGAAGGCCTTCAGGTGTGAGCTGAAGATGGGGATGGAAGGTTAACATTGGGAAATTAACTAAGATCCTGTTTTCTTGTACAATTTAGCTATCTACCCACCCTTTCTGTGATAGATCATCACACAGCAGTCATGCACGTCGGATGAAGTTTGGGTCAGGGTTGACTAGTTACACGGTTGTACAACTTGCTGACGATCAAAGGCTCATTATAAATGGTCATTGAGGCAAGGGAACTGGATGGCAACAGTTGCCTATGAATTGTACCTCTCTATAGGTTGTCAAAGCCAGATGAGGAAGAAGACTTTGGGGAGAGGAGGAAGAGTGCCCAGCAAGGCTGCCCCAGGCAACATTAAGACTCCCTATAGAACTCCCGACTAAATATTCAAAAGGATATCTCTAGGCTTGTATGCCATTCGCCTTCCTTCAAATCTCATTTTAAACCAACTCAAAACAAGAGCAACCATTACTTCTATCTTTAAATTCATTGCATGTTATACACTACATCCCGTCCAATTACTTACGCCACTCATTCTAAGGACCACCAATTGGGAGATTTATTGAACTTCACCAATAAGACTGTTTGTGCTTAGTACTATCCCCTTCTGGTTTCTAGTCTAAATCTTAAGGGTGATTTTGTTTCTCCTTTTTAATTGAGACTGTTAGATTCAATAATTTTGGGGACGATATGAATGTAGATTCTTGAGTAAAAGATTGTATCAAGTTGAGTGTTACAGTTGTTTAATCTCTCAAAACATTACCTTATTAACTTTTAAGAGCTATCTGATTGTTTTTTTCCTTGTAACCAGCGCAGTGTTTAATTTACTTTTTTAAAAGAGTAATCATTTAATATCTTTCAGCACATGGAATTGCTGAGGTCCCATCAGAACCGGCCAGTTAAATGCCTGACCATCATGTGGGCATTGGGGCAGGCTGGTACAGACTTGTCAGAAGGATTGAAAGGTAAGGAGCTTTGGTGTGGAGAGGTTTAGGGAAAGGTCAAACTCAAAGTTGATGATCGGTTTTGGCTGACATAATGTGATTCAAAACCAATAATACAGAGCAGTTTTGCTATACGTACTTCACTGGAGCACAAATTTTCTTGCACAGTGGATCCTGTTCATTGCGCAAATATACAGACGGTTGGTTGCTTGACGGCCAACTTTTTACGCTGAAACGGCCAGTTTCTGATTCATTAGTCTGCCTTATACATAATTTGCTGCATGTGTCTAAAGCAGGAAGTGGTGTCGATCTAATGACTTTAGAAGTCAGCCTTTTTAGCTTCCTGCTCTAAAACTCTCTGACTTCCGGGTCATCAGATTGCTGGCGAGATTACATCCTGCAATGTACATTCATGAAAATCAGGACAAAATATTGTGACTCACCAACATGGAACTGGGGCCATTTTGTTTTAGTGTTTAAACTAGCCATCATGCTTCATATATGCTAGCCAGTTATAACCATGCACAGCAAAACCAGATATGGGATCATATGGATCACTTAGTACTGTGTTACAATGAGGTTGCTCTGTATTATAGGGAAACCCTATTATATGTCCCTTCACTAGTCATTTTCTCTTGTATTCCTAGTCTACCATTGACATGCACAACCTAGAAATGCGGTACATCCAGATTCCGGTATTTACAAACCTGTTTCCGACTCTTAAAATGGCCAGCTCCCCTAGCCTACCGAGATTTTGGAACCAGCTGACCTATAACAATTATCATTATTAGTAGTATTATATCAGTATTAGAATCATAGAATTATACAGTGTAGAAGGAGGCCATTTGGCCTATCATGCCTGTGCCGGCTCTTTGAAAAGAGCTATCCAATTCAATCCCACTCCCCTGCTCTCTCCCCATAGCCCTGCAAACTTGTCCTCCCCAAATAATTATCTACTCTCTTAAAATTTGTTATTGAATCAGCTTCCACCGCCCTTTCAGGCAACGCTTTCCAGATCCGAACAACTCGCTGTGAAAAAAATTCTCCTCACCCATCAGTGGAAATAGTTTCTCCTTGTTCACTCTATTGAATCCCCTCATAATTTTGAAAACTTCTATTACGTCGCCTCTTAACCTTCTCTGCTCCAAGGAGAATAATCCTAGCTTCTCTAGCCTCTCCTGATAACTGAAGTCCCTCATTCCTGATACCATCCTGGTAAATCTCCTTTGCACCCTCTCCCATTGCCTTGACATCCTTCCTAAAGTGTAGTGCCCAAAACTGAACACAGCACTCTATCTGAGGTCTAACCAGTGTTTTATAAAGGTTCATCATAACTTTCTGACTTTTGTATTCTGTGCCCCTATTTATAAAGCCTAGTATCCCATATTTTTTTAACAGCTTTATCTACCTATCCTGTCACCTTCAAAGATTTACTTACATGAACCCCAGGTCTCTCTGTTTCTTCACCTCCTTTAAGATTGTACCATTTAGCTTCTCCTTATTCTTCCACCCAAAATACATCGCTTCGCATTTCTCCACATTAAACTTCATCAGCCACGTGTCTGCCCATTTTACTAGTCTGTCTATGTCCATTTGCAGTCAACTACTATCTTCCTCACTGTTTACTACTTTTCCTAGTTTATTATCATCTGCAAAGTTGGAAATTGTACTCCTGATACCCAAATCCAGGTCGTTTATGTAGATCAAAAACAGCAGTGGTCCCAATACTGACCCCTGGGGGACACCACTGCACACTTTCCTCCAGTCAGAAAAACAACCTTTCAACACCACTCTCTGCTTTCTGTCTCCCAGCCAGTTCTGTCTCCATGTTGCCACTGTCCCTTTAATACCATGGGCTTCTATTTTGCTTAGAAGTCTCTTGTGTGGTACTTTTATCAAATGCCTTTTGAAAAGCCGTATAAACTACATCAACTGCACTACCTTCGTCCACCCTCTCCGTTACTTCATCAAAAAACTCTTATCAGGTTTGTTGGACATGATTTGCCTTTAACAAATCTGTGTTGGCTGTCCTTTATTAGCCCATATTTTTCTAAGAGAAAATTTATTTTGTCCCGGATTATAGTCTCAAGAAGTTTTCCCACTACTGATCTTAGGCTGATTGGCCTGTAGTTCCTGGGTTTATCCTTCTGCCCCTTTTTGTATAGGGGAGTAACATTTGCAGTCCTCTGACACCACCTCAGTGTCCAAGGAGGATTGAAAGATTGTGGCCAGAGCCTCCGTTATTTCCACCCTTACTTCCCTCAGTAACCTAGGATGCATCCGTCCGGACCGGTGACTTATCTACCTTGAGCAGCGACAACCTTTTTATAAAGCCCATCTCCTCTTGGTTTATTCTTATCCAATTTCTCTACCCTCTCCTCCAATACTGTGGCATTGGCTTTTGTGAAGACAGATGCAAAGTACTCATTCAGTACGTCAGCCATGCCCTCCGCCTTCACAAGAAGATATCCTCTTTGATACCTAATTCGACCCATCATATCTTTGACTCACCTTTTATTCTTTATATGCTTATAAAATACCTTAAGGTATCCTTTTATGTTACCCGCTAATCTTTTCTCATACCATCTCTTTCCCCCTCTTATTTCCTTCTTCAATTCTCCTCTGTATTTTCTATATTTGATTATCTTCTGTATTTTGGACCTGACATTTATCATAAGCCTCCTTTTTCTGTTTTATTTTGATCCCAATTTCTTCATTCATCCAGGGAGGTTTGGATGCCCTATCTTTCCCATTTGTGGGAATGTATTTGTTCTGTCCCCGAACTATCTCCTTGAAGTTAAAACAGCTCTTTAGCTGTTTTACCTGCCAATCTTTCTTTCCAGTCCACCTTGGCTAGGTCTTTTTTTAACTCATTGAAATTAGCCCTCTTCCAATGGAGTATGTTCAACTTTGATTGCCACTTGTCCCTTTCCATAAGTACTCTAAACCTAATGATGTTGTGATCACTGTTGTCCAGATGCTCGCCTTCTGAAACCTTCTCCACTCTCCCACTTCATTCTTCAGAACTAGATCTAGCACTGTCCTTCCTCGTTGGGCTGGAAACATATTGATCCAGAAAGTTATCCTGCACACATTTCAGGAATCCTTCCCCCTTCTTGCCCTTTACACTGTTATTTTACCAGTCTAAGTTAAGATAATTGAAGTCCCCCATTATCACTGCTCTATTGGTTTAGCATCTTTCTGAAATTAGCTTGCAGATTTGCCTGTCTATCTCCTTCCCACTATTTGGTGGTCTATAGTATACACCTAACAGAGCAACAGCTGCTTAACTCTAACCAAATAGATTCTGTTTTTGGACCCTCTAACGCATCACCCTTTTCCAGGGCTGTAACTAAATCTTTAATCAATATTGCCACACCCCCTCCTTTTTTTCCTTCCCTATCCCCCCTGAATACATTGTAACCAGGAATATTCAGCTCCCATTCCTGCCCTTGTTTGAGCCAGGTCTCCATTATTGTCACTATATCATAACCCCACATGGCAACTTGAGCCTGCAGCTCACCAATCTTATTTGTCACACTCGTGCATTTATGCACATGTACTCCAAGACCAACTTAATCTGTTCTGCATTTCTCCCCCATCTAATCCCTCCTTTTTCTGAATTACTCCTGATTACATTGCTTTTCATCTCTCCCATCCCTCTATGTAACTTATTTATCCTCTCTAATGCTACATCCTCATTCCCTCCCCCTCTCAAAATTAATTTAAACTCTTCACCACAGCACTAGTTAACTTCCCTGTGAGGACATTGGTCCCAGCCCTGTTCAGGTGTAAACCATCCACCTTGTACAGGTCCCAATCATCCAGGCACCATTTCTCCAGCCAAATTCTCCATTCATGTGTTTGATCCTGCTGTTTTATAATAATAATAATAATAATAATACTTGCATTTGATATAGCGCTTTTCACGTCGGGAGGACGTCCCAAAGCGCTTCACAGAACACACTGTAAAGTGAATTGACTGTATATTTGTGGGCGAACGCGGCAGCCAATTGCGCACAGCAATGTCCCACAAACAGTCGTAGATTGAAAATGACCAATTTATTATTGTTTTTGGGGTTTTTGGAGGGATTATTATTAGGCGTGTGGAGTAAGGAAACTTGCCCAAGGTTTCGCCCTGCCTGGAATTGAACTCCGGTCTCTCACTTGCAAAGCGAGTGCTCTAACCACTGAGCTACAGGACTCCACAAATATTCACTTGCACGAAGCACTGGGAGTAACCCAGAGATCACCACCTTTGAGCTTTTTCCGTAGCTTTTGATACTCTCCCTGGAGGATCTCATACCTTTTTTCCCCTACGGCATGGATCCCAACATGGACCACAACTTCTGGATGTTTCCCTTCCTCCCGTAGAACATTTTGCACCTGTTCCGTGATGTCTTCAACCCTTGCACCAAGGAGGCAACACACCATGCGAGATTCACGTCTTTGGTTGCAGAAACACCTGTCAACTCCCTTCACCATTGTGTCCCCAATGACAATTGCATTGACACTCTTCCCTGTCTCTTGTGCATCCATTTACTTTTGACTCCCCTCCCCAGTATTCAGTACAGAGAACTGGTTTGTGAGTGCCACTCTCAGTGGATTTCTGCACTGCCTGTCCCCTCTTCCTACCGTGCCGGGTGGTCACCCACTGACTCTCCTTCTGAACCCTCTGTGGCTGTGGGGTGACCACTCCCTGAAAAGTTCAATCCATGAACTCTTCAGCCTCCCGTATGCTATGTGGTGACACCAGCGTCTCCTCGAGCTCAGAAACTCTGAGCTCAAGCAGCTGGAGGCACTTCCTACACATGTGTCTGGGCACACAAAGCACCCTGGAGTTCCCACATGGCACACATTGTGCATGCAACCAGGCTCAGCTGCCCTGCCGTATTGTCAGACATGTTTTATATTATTTTAATATAAATATTATACATTTTATAATTCTGCACCTCTTTCCCCTTCTGCACCGAATTCTCACTCTCACCAAATTCTTTAATAGAATTCAGTTCCCTCCTCACGCCGCTGGGCTCTCTGCTCCAGCAGCGGGAGCAAAGGGCCCAGGAGCTATTATGATTATTATTATTATTTAGCTCTACTGCTCAAACCATCAATCATTGGGGTGCATCAACACATCCACATGTTTGATTTTATAAAATTCTTGTGCAACATTTCTGGTCCAACNTTTTTATCTCACTCTCTTTCTACTTTAGTCTGGCTTGGAATCATGCTTCCTGTATTGGGCATCAAATCTCTATCATCCTATGCCATAAGTTACTTGGACAAACTACTAATGTGAGTATACACAGAATCCTGTAATAAAACATTCCAAGCCTATATCACTTGGTGAGCTCCACATTACATGCATTGTATAGTTCAGCTGAATGTTTCAGTGTTTTCCATTAGTATTGAAATTGTGAATTGCAAACCACCAAGGGAAATTAACCAGTTCCTTTTTACAGTTAATAGTGTAATAGTAGAACAACAGATGACCTGATCATCATTCCAACTCTAATAGGGAAGAGGAAAGAAAGGAGAGGTATAAGTAACTAAAGCAAACTTTAGTTTATAACTTGTCTTCTGAATCCTCAGATGTAATGATAGCTTGATCTTTCCACAGTGTAGAGTAAGAAAAAGACTGCACAGGTCCTCAATAAACATTTATTTCCTTCAGAAATGTTTTGATATAACCTTATAGCAATAAACGTTCAGTGGGACTGATAACAATCAAGCATTACTCAAGATTTTCTTCAAGATAAGGCCTTCATCTGATATGTTAATACCGATAATTCAAATTATTCTACCCTACTCTTCAGTTTCAAACTTAATTATCATAATTTTGTCGATCAGCTGAGACTTTATTCAAACTTGGGTGTAGAGATGAAAAGACAATACACTTTGTGAAGTCTTCCTTTGCTTACTTTCACACACAGCATCCTTCACTTGCCCTTGGGTGACAGTTTTGTGCAATTGCAATAATTGAGGTTTACTCAAGGGATAACCTGCTGTTTGTTGTGATATCTTTCTACTGCAATTCTTGTTTTTCAGGATGCATTCTAATCTGATCAAAGGATTTGGAATAATTGGACCAAAGGACTTCTTTCCTCTGCTAGATTTTGCTTTTATGCCCAATAATTCTCTTTCACCTAAGTAAGTTTGAATGTTTAAAGTCAATATAGTAAACTCCTAATAACTTGACCGCTGGCTTAATTTGTAACTACCGCTTAAGTCGTCATTGCTGTCAATATCCCGACTGTATTTATACATATCCCTGATTCGTCACTAAGCCCTTTTCCCTTAACCTAATGAATTACTGGAGCCTACTGTACATGTAACAAACCTGCCAGCAACTGGTGAAATCCCTGTTTTTATGCTTTAGTTTGTTCACAATGTAGCTGGTAAATGGTTGCCACTCTCCCTTCTGTGTAGCTCTTTTTCCCCCCATCTATCTTGGCTGATCTATGGAGATAATGACTGAATTGTATGTGAATAAGTGTTAACATTTTGCTATGCTAGGAATTCGAATCTTAGCTGGTTTTGCTGACGAGAGCAGTTTCATTGTGATTTTCTGATTTGTGGTGGTTTCAGTTTGCAGGATCAATTGCGCCACCTTTATCCTAGACTGAAAGTTTTGGCATTTGGTGCTAAACCTGAATCTACCCTGCACACCTACTTCCCTTCCTTCCTGTCCAGAGCAACTCCCAACTGCCCTGCAGACATGAAAAAAGAGGTAAGTGACATGACTGAATGTTGCGTCTTATTGTTAGGCATTGCTATCCCAATATTCTTCTGCAGGTATGCTAACAGAACCCATGCACAATTGATACTAAAGCATTTATGGGGTCACTCCTGATGGGGTAGTCGATAGGTCCAGGAGCTAGTTGGTTCAATTCCTGGGCCGTGCTGAATTTGCTGCTGCTCAGTGGGGTTGAGTGGAGAGTTTGCCACAGTCTTCTGAGAGTTAGGAGGGGAAACAAAAACACTCCAGTAAAAAGAAGACTACACCAGGAATGCCAGTCTGACCCATATTCCAGTGTATGGAGGGGTGGAATAAACGTAATTAGACATGACATGATTTTTTTTAAAATTATGAATGTTTTCTCTTCTCGACTTTTAGCTCTTGCAATGTATGGTGGAGTGCCTGAACAAGGATTCTCATAGCTTCAGCGTCTGGAGACAGCTGTACACAAAGCATTTGGCGCAATCAAGGTAAGTTACTCTTGTACAGAGAATCTAGTACTGGTGGCCTTTGGTTGAAATAGCTACCCTTTATGGTGCATTAGTTTCTCTTCTTAAATACAGTATTTAAAAAAGATATTCACACAAGAAATTAATGAACGCCCAACTAGTTTTGATTTAAATACAATATATTCTAGTGGTACAGTATTAATGTTTGAAACTCTAAGGACATTGTTCTAAGGAGGGCTTTTATGATGGGGCATGGGGGGGGGGGTTTGCATTCACAAAATACGTTTTTGATCACTTTGATGCAGTCATGTTAAACTTGGGTACAACATTTTTTTAAAAAATTGTGATTTTTTTTGGGTGGGGCTTGGTTGGGGATATTGTAATAGCACATAGTTGAAGTAATTGAATCCAGCCCAGTAGTGGGGTGCAACCCTTTTTAATCGCAACCAAACTCACAAAAATAAACCAAATAGAGAGAGCACTGACTGCTTCCAAGTTGCTCCTCAGATTCAGTATATTCTGTTAAGTATTTTATTTGCCTGCTTGGTTTCTGCAGTAATCATGCATCAAATACTTTGAGGTGGGCTTTAATGTGAATATTGCTATATACATTTTGAAAATTACAATGCCTGTTTATGTAGAATACTGTTACTCTTAATATTGTTTAAATGAGTAATCTGTAAAATACAGTTCAGTGTTAATTGTGGACCTTTTCACAGCTAGTAGATAAGCACCTAATATATCTGTAGGTTCAGCTTCACTCAGTAGCATGTTACTGCTGTGAAAGACTTTTAATATTGTAAGAAGCTGCTCAATAAAAAATCCTTACTGCGCAAAATGAAGGAGAATGGCAAATAAACAAGGGAACTAGAAAAGGATATTCAACCCATCAAGCCTATTCCTACATGTTTACGTTTCTCTGATCTACTTAACTTTACTTCCTCTCTCTCTCTCCCCTGCCCCTATTTTATCTGAAAGAAAGATTTTCACGCCGTATTAAATTGTATTGAAACAACATTAACTACTTTGGTGGGGAGCCTGGTCCATAAATCCCTGATATAAGGTGCATGTGGAAAACGCAATCTAATCAAATCTTACCTCATTGTTCAATTTATATTTGATCTCATTTCATCTACTTTTCTGCTGACAGTCCAAGTTAAGTAACCAACTATCACCTGGGTTATTGTTGCCTCTTGACAATCTTTTAAAAAATAAATCCTACTTCTGCCTTTATTTTAAAATGTAGAAATACTCCAGCAGTAGTAAAATATGCCAGAACAACTTTTTGGGGCTCAAAGTTGAAACTTGTCCCTTTAGAACTTCATCTCACATTCCCTTCACCTCTCTCCTTCTGTCGCCTCCTTCAAGGCACGTCTCAATACCCTCCTCTTCTGCCACTCTTCCTGCCCTCCACCCTCCCTATTCTCAACCCCCCCCCCGGTTCGTGTCCAAATCCCTGATTGTCCTGCTCCTTGGGACGTCCCTCCAATTTGAAAGGCTGCAAATGTAGTTTTGTATTGTATATTTGAGCACTGGTGAAATGTGAAAAATAATAATAATAATAATAATCCTTGCATTTGATATAGCGCTTTTCACGTCAGGAGGACGTCCCAAAGCGCTTCACAGAACACACTGTAAAGTGAATTGACTGTATATTTGTGGGCGAACGCGGCAGCCAATTGCGCACAGCAATGTCCCACAAACAGTCGTAGATTGAAAATGACCAATTTAATTATTGTTTTTGGTTTTTTGGAGGGATTATTATTAGGCGTGTGGAGTAAGGAAACTTGCCCAAGGTTTCGCCCTGCCTGGAATTGAACTCAGGTCTCTCACTTGCAAAGCGAGTGCTCTAACCACTGAGCTACAGGACTCCATGATAATTCTATTATCTAGGATAAAAAATTAGCACAGGAACCTTGAATGTGGGAATCAATAGGGAAGAGTGAGATCAGGCTTTATCACGGTTGAGCTATAGTGGGAAAGGACTGGGTGGTGAATAGGTCAGGATTAAAGGTTCTTCTATTAAACATGTTCTTACCAGGCACAATTAATCATTAAGCTCCCAACCAGAAACTTATTCAAATGGCATCCTCCCCAATACTTGACATTTCTATATTTTAATTGCACATTCCCAAGATGAATTGTACTCAATTGCCTATTCATTAATGGTGATTCTTTCCTTCTAGTCTCCTGCTGAATAATCTCTTAGAAACCTGGGCCAACACTCCAGCCAAGGTAATTATTTTTTTGAGAAAATGAATTTGAAGTGTGGCAATGATTTCTCGAGCTCTATTAAACACTTTCTCATTTTTAATGTTTTATTAACGTGGTTATTTTATCTCTTACAAAATGTATTTATTCTTGTGTGATTTCTTTACAAATTTCTTTCTGTAAAATCAAATTTCTTTTTAGTTTTCATTTGGCTTTTGGGGACGGGATGTAATTTTCTGAGTACTGGTAGTAAAGTATGTAGAATAACAAGAACAACAAAATTAAATTTGTATAGCATCTTTCACGTCAATAATAATCCTTGCATTTGATATAGTGCTTTTCACGTCTTCTAGACGTCTCAAAGCGCTTCTCAGAATATGCTGTAAAGTGAATTGACTGTATATTTGTGGGCAAAACACAGCAGCCAATTGTGAACAGAAGTGTCCCACAGACATTCGTGGACTGAGGGACCAAATTATTATTTTTATTTGAAGGGATTATTACCCGTGGAAAAGTGATCTGCCAATCAACTAAAAACTGGGTTCCTACTTACTGCTAGGTAAACAGACGGAGGTAGAGCAAGGAAACTTGGCTATCGTTTTGCCCTGCTGGGAATCTAATCCAGGTCTCCTGCTTGCGAGGCGAGTGCTCTTAACCACTGAGCTACAGGACTAGGAGGAAGTAAAGAGTGGCTGAAGGCTCACGTGGAGTATAACCACTTGTATCGACCAGCCCAATAACTGTTTATGTTCTGTACAATCTATGAAGTTCACCCCAGCTGGCGTTGTACCTTAAACTTGGAATTATAGCAAAAGCAGTATTGGGATTTCATATGTGGAATGAAATCGGTCTAAGGGTTTATTAGTGTGGTTATTTTATTTAATCTGCAACCCTATTTTGTTTCGATATGGCTGGCTGAAGATGTGTTGGGCTAGAACTGATGAACCTCTTTGATTGCAGGTGCAGAAAGCTCTGCAGGAGACTGTACGTTCGTTTAAAGTAACAAACGAGGAACTGTCTGCGAAAGGTGCCAACAATGTAGAGGAAATAGCTGCCTGCAACACTGCCTGCAATGTAAGGGATTAGCTGATTTTTTTTTTTATCTTGTGGTTTATCTCAATATTTGGGAATTTTTTGTGTTGCTGACTAATATTGACTGTGAGTTAACATTTAGTCAATTGAAGATATGGTATAAAGACAGAAGTCGCTAGGAACACACAGCAGGTTAGGCAGCATCCATGGAAAGAGGAAAATTAGTTAACGTTTCAGGTCTATGGCCTTTCGTCAGAACCAGTATATGCAAAGTACAAAAAAACTGGTTGATTTACTGGTTGACCGGTTGGTTGCTGCTATCACTTTGTGTGTTTAGGAAGTGTCACTAACATTGTTTCTGATGTGCCATATGTCGGAAGCCCTGGTAACTGCACATTGCTGCAGTTTCCAAGTTGTGACAATTCTTACTGTTTTTTTTACTTCCATTTTGTGTAACAAAACTTTTGGTGAATCTCAATTAACTGTCTATTACATAAATTTTAATGACCTCTACCACCTGTGTATTCCCTCTATTTTGGTTGAGAAATTCTTTGCACTCCAGTTCTCCAATTCCTTTTGTTCTCCTTCTCATAAAAAATCCAATATTTAGATGTAATATACATATTTAGATGAGCTCCAAATATGGTGTAGGGTTGTTCATTTCTCAAGTGGCCATTCTTGTGGGAGCCTGGACAGTGAGTTGCTATTTGTCCTGGGAATGGTGAGACCATCATAGATGAGTCTTGTCCCATCCTCTGTTCATGTGCACACCATTGATCCCCCTTGTGCGGATTGTTTGAGCAGCAATTGGACCTCAGATCTCTCTGCCAAAAAAAAAAAACATTTTATTCTGAAGAAGCCCAATAACTCATCTTGGTGCTGAAATGGTAATAACCATTCAAGCTCACATAATCCGCTTTGCAATGAGCTTTTATTTTCTCCATTTCTCATTTTAAAGGCTGGGGTTGGATGAAGGTAAAACACAACTTTCAGAACAAATCTTTATTTGAAAATGAAGTATAACATTGATCAGTACGGTACATCATCTTTCCCTCCCTCCTACCCCCAGCTAAATTTTCTTTTCAAAATGTATTGTTGCCGTGTTACAAGGCATAATTTTATGTGTATTTTGGGGACTACAGTTTTAAATTTATTGATTTTTGTTACTGTTAAACTATACTCTGAATTCGTGTTGCAGAACAACAACAACAACAACAAGATTCCATTTATAGAGCGCCTTTCACGTCAGGAGGACGTCCCAAGGCGCTGCACAGTTGGGTCATGACCCGAGCAGGGGGGAAATGGTCAGGGTGAGGGGAGGGAAGGGAGGGAGAGAGGAGGGGGGAAATGGTCAGGGTGAGGGGAGGGAAGGGAGGGAGCGAGGAGGAGGAAGAGAGTCGAGAGGGGAGCTGAAGGCACGGTCAAAGAGAAAGTAATAGGAGGGGAAGAGCAATGAGCAATCTATGAATGAAGAGTTAAGCATGTACTTAAGGCTCTTGCAATCTTTTAGGCTTGTTTAACTTGTGTGTGGTGACTAGTATTTTGTTTTCTTTCTCTCTCCTCCCCCCTCTCTATTCAAGTTCCTCCTGCAAAAGTTGAAAGGTGGTGGATTCCCCTGGTCTCGTCTGCTGTTCGTTCTTGTAGTTTTTGTTGCAGGTTTTGTGATACAGGATATCAGAATACATGGCTCCTTCAATGGTTAGTAAACGTATGAATTACCTATCGTAATTGAATGTGAATTTCAAGAAACAACAGTAATGTTGTCTGTCCAGATGGCACAAGGTGACATTTTGAACCTAGTGTTACAGATTAATGTGAAAGTATTTGCATGTTTTTTGTGAGAGTGGGCAGGAAAAATTGTCCCTCTGATTTGCTAAATATTTCTGCATATTTGAAACATAGAAATAGAACTGTGTCTACATTGATTGTTTATCACCGCCTTAATGCTCCTGCTGCACGATGCTGTTTTAATGAAAGGAAGGTAACTAAAGTGGTATTAAGTGTGAAAATTATGCAGATTTAATGCAATTAGTCACTAGAATTCAATGCCACAAAACAGGGGCATAAAGTTCTATGGTATTGATGCATCATCAAGAAATTACATTTGTATAGCGCCTTTCACATCGGGACGACGTCCCAAGGTGCTGAACAGTTAGAGATTTGGACTTGAGCTGTGGGTTTTGATCAGGAGGGCAGGGAGGTTAGGGGTAGGAGGGTAACCGAAGGTGCGGTAGAAGGGGGAGGGTCTTGAACACTCAACATTTTGCAGAGATGAGGAAAACTACTAATTTTAATCAGTGAATTTGCACTTTTATGAATTGCTACAACCAGTAGCTATAAACACTGAACAATCTCCTAAATACAGTAGACCCTGTGATAATGTACTTCGTTACAACATGGATGAGATGTGGATCTCAACATTTTGTCTTAAAATCAAATCTCAACATTACTGAAAAGTTTAGCGAATTGATGCCTTGAAATGTGATTTCAGAGCTAAAGTAAGCTTACATATTGAGGGCGTGCAGGAAGTGACATTGGCAGCAATCTGACTCTCAAATCAACTCTTTTTATATAAACCATAGGAAGCCAGCCGGTAGTGAATGTGTAGTGAATGTTTCCATTTATAAGGCAAGTTAGAAATTTTAAGGACCTCAAATACAACACCATTTATAATGGAGCACCACTGCTGGTTTCCTTTGGGCTTGTTATGAGCGAGGGTATCACAAGTCAATTTGAAGCACTGCTTTGTATCTTGCTTTGAGTATGACACAGTAATTCATGTAGACTTGATTTTTGTGTGGTGATAATCTTCATCTTGATTTAAGGATAGGACAAGAAGGAGTATGAATAATAACAGTCAAACTTCGCTTCTGCATTTTAAAAATGGTTCATTAATTACAAAACCTTAAGGATAAGTTTTCCCTTATTATGTAACCATTTAAAATGTTTTTACAGTGTACGCTTTGACCTTTGCATCAAAGCTATTTTTATACCTCATTGCAGTTCCACGAGCACGTCTGTAGTACCGTACAAAAACACACGCAAAAATGGCCTTCTATTCCAACATCATCTTGGAGGCTAAACACAACCCTAAAATCCTTTTTTCCACCACCCACTACCTCCTCCGTGCGCCCCCTCAGGCCTCCTCAATCTTCGTATCAAATGCCAAGTGCGAGGAGGTCACGGATTTCTTTTCATTTAAAATATACAACATCCGCCAGGCAGCCTTGTCACCCAGTTCTCCCTCCTCTGCCCACTGCTGGCTGACGTCATCAACCAGTCCTTCTCCTCCAGATCAGTCCCTACCCCTCTCAAAACTGCTATCATCACCCCCCCTCCTCAAAAAACCTTTCGTAGATCCCTCAAACCCCAGCCACTACCGCCCCATTTCTAACTTGCCATTCCTTGCAAAAGTCCTGGAACGCATTGTTGCCAGTCAACTTCGCGCACACCTCTCCTCCCACTCCCTCTTCAAACCCCTCTAATCCGGTTTCCGCCCTGCCCACAGTACAGAGACTGCATTTGTGAAAGTCACAAATTACATCCTCTCCATCTGTGACCAGGGCTCCCTCTGCCTCCTTGTCATGACCCAACTGTGCAGCGCCTTGGGACGTCCTCCTGACGTGAAAGGCGCTTTATAAATGGAATCTTGTTGTTGTTGTTGTTGTTGTCCTCCTGGATCTCTCTGTAGTGTTCGACACAGTCGGCTCACGGCATCCTCCTCCAACGCCTTTCTTCCGTCATCCACCTCAGTGGGACCGCACTCGCCTGGTTCGAGTCCTACCTCACAAACCGCCAGCAGTACATCTGCACAAACGGCTTCTCCACCCGCTCTCACCCGGTTACCTGCGGAGTACCCCAAGGATCCATCCTTGACTCCCTCCTCTTTCTGATCTACATGCTCCCTTTTGGGGATGTCATCCGCAGACATGGGGTACATTTCCACATGTACGCGGACGATACCCAACTCTATTTTTCCACCTCTCTTTGCGACCCCCAGTTCCCTGATGTTCTGTCAGTCTGCCTGTCAGACCTCAGGGGCTGGATGAGCGGAAATTTCCATCAGCTGAACGTTGACAAGACGGAAGCCATACTCTTTGGCTTTCGTCAACGTCTAAAATCTCACGGCTCTCACCTCTTCCACCTACCCGACCTCCCCCTAAAACTCTCCGAACCCGTACCCAAACTCAGCGTCAGAATTGACCCCCAATTATCCTTCCTCCCCCACATCCGGTCCCTCACCAGCACCGCCTTCTTCCACCTCCGACGCATCGCCTGTCTCCGCCAATACCTCTCCCCAAAAGCCGCTGAAACCCTAGTCCATGCATTTGTCACCTCTCGACTGGACTATTTAAACGCCCTCCTCGCTGGTCTCCGATCCACTACCATCCATGAAATCCAGATCATTCAAAACTCTGCCGCCCGCATTCTCATCCGCACCAAACTCCGCTCCCCAATCACCCCAGTCCTTGCCAGACTGCACTGGCTGCCTATCCCAGAGAGGATCGACTTCAAGATCCTCACCCTTGTATTCAAGTCCCTGCACTCCTCTGCATCCCCCTACCTCTCTTACCTCTTTCCTCAAAACAGTACCCGTTGCCTTCGTTCCTCCGGGTCTGGCCTCCTCCTCGTCTCCCAAGTCCTCCGCTCCACCCTCATCAGCCGTGCCTTCAGCCACTATGCCCTGAGGCTCTTCCCCGTCTCTTCCTATTTTCAGGTCCCTGCTGAAGACCTTTCTTTTTGACCACACCTTTGGTTACCTTCACCCCCCTCCCCCTGGCTCGGTCCCAGGATCCGTTACTGTGAAGCGCTCTGAGATGCCGTCCAGCGTGGAGGGCGCTATATAGATCCAAGTTGTTGTTGTTGTTACCGTCCCCTATCTTTGTCCGTGCGAGATTGAAACAAGTTTAATAGTATTTGTAGGCGGTTCTGCAAAGATTCTAGCTTTTAAGATTGTTTTAAGATGCTCTCTCCTGCTTGATGTCCTTGTTGTACAGACTAACAGCAGGAACTCAGTAGGAACTGTACAAGTCCTCTTAACTGAGCCGGACCATTTATGTCTGATTAGTGTAACTGAAATAGCTGAGAATTATGGTGTAATGGAGATACAATCCCACTATTATTGGTGACTTGATGACTTCCATTTAAATTCCTCCCCAGCTTCATCTTCTGCCCATGTCCTGCAGCAGTCAGGAGTGATGTCCGTGTCTCAACAGGCTTGGAATAAAATTTCTTATTATTCTAAACAGGGATACAGGTTAGTACAACATATATTTGTGTGTGTGTTAGCTTTTGGCCCCTCTCCTTTCCCCCCCCCAAACATTTCCTTATTGATGTGTAGGAAATCTTCTTGGATATAAATACATTTGAGTTTCCGCTATCCCTTGCAGTATGGAGTACCAAACATGATATATATTATATTTACAGGTTGTGGCTGCTGGACTGTAATAATTTTGAACACATCTGAATAACATCCCTTTATTTAATATTGCTGTAGTTTAATCACAGTTTGCCATTGTAAACCATAGTTAGCTTCCTGTTGCTTGTCTGCTAGGACCACCCTACCTTTTAGGGCTTTGGTTTACAGATTTAAGAGAAGCCAGGTGTGCAGAATCCTTATCACCAATGGGAAGAATCCCAGTGACTGGGCTACTCCTCTGAGACCTGCTAATGGGCCAGTTTTGCTCGTCCAACAGTTTGTAGAATGCTGCAGACCTAACCTAGCTCCGGGACAGTAATACCGAGGCTGCCACAGAGGATTGACTTGATAAAGATTTATCATTTTCAGCTTAAGTCATTGGAACCAGTTTGGCCTCACAGAGATGCCAATGACTACATCGGGTCAGTACAAAATCTTTGGTGAGCAGGTTGCCAGCACTTGTATTGGTCAGAATAACTCAATCCCATCAAATAAGTGTATTAATCTATTTCAAATTAATTTTCATTGCCAAATCTCCCATTCTGTTTGTTTGATTTGGCACCATTATACACTACAAATGAGGTATCATTCTAGCTTTTCAATTGCTCTAATGAGCAATGCACAACAAAACCCCATTCAGCTTGTGTTGTCACCTTCTCTTGCTAAATTACCATCTACTGCAATCTGATTGATATTTGTGGTCTCATAACAACCATGCCCGTTGTCTTCACAGTTGGATGGAAACAAATACTCCTCATTACTACTCTGAAGCTATAACAAAGGTGCGGCCAAACCTTGAGCTGGTAGGGGGAAAGCTGATTGAATTGGCTGTGTATACAAGAGACAAACTCTCCAATCAGATAATATGGATCAATGAAAATGTACCCAAGCTTATTGAATGGGTAAGTTGTAGTCAGTTTGCAAGTCGCAAGTATGTTTCAAGTATTGTACAATACGGGGTCCTCAACCTGGCAAGCTCATTTAACTTGAGCTGGCTAGTTTCTGATATGCAGATTTTTTTTCATTGATTTATTTGTTAGGTTTTCCAATTATTTGTGAAAAAGATGGGTTCGAAGGGAGGGAAATGAAGAGAATTGAGTTTGTGTGTTCAAAACAACGCAGTGTAAATATGTACTGTATGCTAATGCTGAAATCGGAGAGGGATTCCATCTGACTTAGTGTCGTATAGTAAGATCTAGGTCATTTTTTTTCTCTCTTTTCACCCATCCTTCAATTTGTTGTGTTCTGAAGACAAGGCCTCTCGCCCCAAGAAGGAAACTAGGAGAAAGTTAGTCACAGGACTACTGTCGTGCATCTAATGCAGTGTGTGGTTCAATGTCAGCATTGCTTACGTAGCTGGGGAATTGGAGGGTAACGTTTCCTCAATATGTATTGGGCAACTGTCAAAACACAGTTTTTCACTTGGGAATGGAAGGAAATAGGAAAAGGTGATAAGAATATTGGGAGGACCAGAGCTATGTTGCATCACAATAGTCAGTCTCTGAAATGATGTTTCTGATTGAAAAGCTAGCAATCTGCAGGAGAAATAACATCTTTTTAAAAAGAAAAGTTCCAATGCACTTGTGATCTGAGTCTCTCAGTGACACTAAATTATTTTAATTTATATGGGTCTAAATAGTTTGTTCCTTTTTAGTAGCTTTTTATGCACTCACTTAAAATTCTGTTCTTTTTGCAGCTTCGTTCTAATTTCCCAGATGCAGTGTTGCAGTTTATGAAGTATGTAAAAGAATTGCTTCTGTTTATACAGCAAAACTACCTGTGCCCAGCATTGGAATATGTGAAAACTGTTATTAAACAATGGTGGACACATCTAGTCAATTCTTGCGAGTAAGTATCTCTGATCATTCTACACGGGATTGTATTGCTTGCCAACTGAACTGGGCATGGGGTGGGAAGGTGAAGAGAGCGAACTCCTAATTTTTTGTTTTAAAGCAATCAATGGTTATAACATGAAATGCTGTATAGCTATAAAGCGTAGTCGTAATGCTTTTTGCAATTCAAATCAAATGTCCATTCATATTTCTGTTGTGAGCCTAATGAGCTACACTCATCCTGTTCCTGCATGAAATGTGAAGTTCTGAGACCTACATGTCATTTCCAATCTAACCAATGGGACAGTCTGTACATGTATTTTGAGATGTTACAGTCTGTGTTCAGTGTTTCCTCTAATTTTATTTTCTTCCAAACTTCAGGGGTGAAATCAGCTGGGACTGTGTTAAAAATCACTTCATTAACAGCAGCCACTTCACATGGAGTTACGTGCAGAACACCACAATAGCTGTCAAAAACTGGGCCTCATCCATGATCTCCAATCACTGAAGGTGTGTCTCATGTTTTTGAGACTCGTGATTATTCCAATGAAGCAATTTTTAGAAGGTTTGGTTAACTCGTTATCTGCAGTGGACAGACTTGGGAACCTGAAAAGTAAAAATGACACTTAATTCTAGGCTTTGTTATAACAGAATTTTTATCTCTTAAAATGCATGTATTTTGTATCCAGTTTTTTTCCAAAGCTCTTCAAGATCTTAACTATCAGTGTCTTCTGTACTGTTGACTGTACACATTCCGATGCTCCAACACTGATGCTGGATCACGAGCGACTGTTAACGTAATGCTGCAACATTATTTGAAAATGTTAACTCGGTGTCATAAAGCAGCTGTATCTTGCTCTTCTCACTCCCCACCACCTTCCCCCCATCTCAATTCTGCTGTAATCACCAGACTCTTGGTTCAAATAGACCGTCTAATGCCAGGCGTGGACCAGTTTAATATTGCAACTATTCATATTGTTTTCTTTTCTAGCCCTGTGCCCTCTGAATATTTGAGGACACCTAATTTAGTGGTTTTGCCATGTTAAATGTTGCCATCTGTTTAAATAATGAGTTGAGCTGTTTTGTGGTGCATATTGTCTGGCAGGAAGCTGGAACGATCAGCTGATACTTTGAACGATCAACAATATGTAGGTTACTTATGTGTCTAGTCTTAAGAAAAAGGGTCAAACCCAGCTTTAATTTCTTGCCACAAATTGATCTGAAAAGGGGCACTGACATTTCTATCCTAGCTCAATCTTTTCTTATATTTTAGTTTATCTGTAATTTTATTTTAGTTTGGGGAGATATCTGGGCACCACACACTTCACGGCTACTTCAATTACCCGGCAAAGTGTTTGAAAAAACGCTCTCGCATATAAAGTGGATGTCCTGCAGAGAAACGATTGTGTATCGTGCTGGCTGAGCGACTGCAAAACCTTGACTCTTGAGGCATTTTTTGATCTCGTGGATCTGTGTAACTAACCAACATGGGATTCCCCGCAGAGACTTACCTTATGTTTTTCAGGTGGGACCTGCTTTTAGGTACAATTTTCCCAATCGAGTGCTATTTCAATGCAAGTATTGTAAATACTCCACTTTTATTATCTTAATTATTTAATTTTCATTGTGTTCCTTTCCTGTATCCACCGTAAATTCAAATTAACCTCTGTTGAAATGGGACTCATCATGCAGTCGAATGAATGACCTTCACGTCTGGATGATGAGTCTGCTAATAATGTATTTAAAGTTATTTCTCACATATAATTTTCCCTCAACCTATTGTGTGTAACAGTTATTTCTCCATTAGACAATTATTCATACTGTTGAGAAAATCAATTCTTAATTTGAAGACTGCATTTGCCAAAGGAATCTTTTTACTGATATTTCATCAGTTGACTTGTGGGATCACTGTTTGTGACTTTTTCTTATCACTTCAGGTAAAAGTTTGGCTTTCCCCTGTATTGCTTTGTGAACCTGTGTCTAGTAAAGTCTTAATTTGTAAATTAAGGAATTCATCTTGCATAACAAGCTGGTCCAATGTGCCCAAATCGTGCTCAGGTGAAGCAATTAATTGCATGTGTGTGTGAAGGTTTCCCAAGATTATTGTGCTACAATATCAAGTTTATAATTTTAAAAGGATAATTTGACATGCATGCACTAGATGAATGGTTCTGTTGTGATGAGACTTATTTCGGAGTAATGGTGAAATATTGTGTGAATTCTATTTCTTCTTGTAGTGGTTTGGCTGATACGTTTTTTTGTGAAACAATAAAATAAAAATTCCATTCCTGGTTATTATTGGTTATTAAAAATTAAAATATGTATAACTCTTACCCAACCAGACCTTTAATGCTATCTTTCCCATATTAATTCACATGGAGGTTATCGTTACAATTGTCCTCGCCAGCAAATTTGCTAACATGTTCTCTGAAGGCACTCCAAATCCCTTTTCTTTATCTTGACTGTAATTGAAACCACAAAATATTTTTTTGGCCAAACCTTTCAAATGAACATATTTAGGAGGGAACCAGGTTGAAAAAATTATGACAAATGTTTAGTTTAAGGTTCCAGCATTTCTTTTCACTAAAGTGAGCTGGCAGAATCCCACGAGCGCTGCCTGCCATTCAAGAAGGTAGTGATGCTATCAGTAAGCAATTTTCCCTCATTAATCATATTCCCTGTATGCCGTGTTCTTGTAAATTAATGTAGAGTGCTGGCATTAACATGTCTTTAATGAAAGACATTGTGTTGACTACTTCAATTGCAGTGTTTTGGTTCTGTTTTCCATTGCCCAAGTTCACCCCTCACCCCTTAAAACAAAGTGTAATTTGTAGTACCTTAACTTAGCTTTAGAAGTGTGAGAATCAGTTGCTAGAAGATTTGGTTTACAATTCATGTTACCTTTTTCTCCCTCTCTCTCACTTCCTTTTTACTCTTCCTTTCCTCCCCCAAAAATCAATGACACTTAAACTGTGGCTAGCCAGGCTAATGGGGGGGGGGGGTGAGATCCAGATCTCCGAAACCCAGAGTCAAGTAAACAGTAAAACAATTGGCTGCCATGTTTTACCCACAAAATGCACAATCAATCCACTTGTAGTCTATTCTCTGCAGCACTTCGTCTAAACAACGTGATAAGGCGCTGTATCAAATGCAAGGATTATTGTTATTATTACTGTATTAAATACATTATATATGGTCAAGTAAAGCTGTTACTGGTTAGAAATATTTTGGATGACCCAATACCTGACTCCAATATATTTCATATGACTGTTTTTCTTTTGTGTCAAAGTAAATACTGTAACTTCATGACTAATTTATTAATATCGGATAATTTTATAACCCAAGGAAAATTGTATGTGTAATATATGATTGGGGAATCGGTGTTCTGGTTGAGCAGCGGAAGGACTAGCTAAAAGAAATCTGTTGCGGTGTGTGCATGCACCTATGTATGTAAATTAAATCATGAATTTATTTGTTTTAAAAATAAAAATGTTTGACCTATTGTCTCAATTTATGTGTTTTAAATATCATTTCTACCTATTCAAAATTGCCTGGGTGTCATAATTTTTGGTGTTTTTTTAAAAAAGTGCAATGTACATATATGGGCTGTGCTCTCTGCTTAGTGAATTTTGAATTGTGATCCTAAATTACTTACTCTAAATAAAATTACAGCACAGAAATGGATCATTGAGTGTATCAAATCTATACTGATTTTCTCTACATAAACCATCTCCTCCCACTACTATTAATTGGGAAGGATGATTTGAATATTCTGCCTTCCATACATCGGTGTTAAGTGTGGCTACAATGGTAAAGATGAGGCGTTACAATAATAAAGTGCTCTTCGCCTACTTGCATTTACTTATAAAGTACTCTTCATTGGAGGGTTGCGTCTTGGAATGCTGAACAATGATAGCAACTGTTGTAAGCCTTGACTACCTTATGGTGCTTGATCCTTCTTGATTTCCACAGTAGATTTCTGAAACCCAGGCCACACTTAATTATGTAGATTTTGGTAAAAAGATGAAGTTGGTGACCTCAGTGCATAGAGCAGCATCAAGACCTCTAGAACATTGATGGTTGGTACAGTATTGCAAGTTGCCCTGCATAGGCCCTCGAATCACACTGAAGGCAAATGTGCATTGCATAACTGGTTAGGAAGTTTGGGACAACAGCTTTTGCAACCGTGAAATACTTGATGTTTATCTTGATTGGTTTACAGAACATTGAGCAGCTCTGCATCTCCAACTATTGGAACTACTTACTGGGGCTGGGCCTGCGTTTCTGGGCTGTGAACATGTGGATGCCGGCAACGCTCACACAGTTTATGCTGAATTGCACTGCTCCCTGTGAGGCTTAAAAGGACTTCCTAGAGCCTATTGCCCACCTAGCTAGGGCTCAGACCTGCACTTCTCAGATATCTTATCTGATGACCAATTTGTGAATATCCTGGGGAGAAGGATAAATGTTTCTGACGATGAATTGGGCCTAAGGTCATATATCTGGTGCTGGAAGATAAGAATCACGTACACCTTTTGCTATCTTGCCAGTCCAATTCCTGAGGCATGCACTATTCCAGGGCATTGTTGTTGACAGACCAATTAGCCCAGCTTTTTAGGGGTTTCTTGAAGAGCAGACGAGTCACTGGGGTCTGAGATATTTTCCACTCTACACCTGTTTACTCTGCAAGGCAAAGGCCGAACAGGATAATTCTAATTGGACAAGCAGTGGGAAACACAGTATTTGTAACAACAACAACTTCCATTTATATAGCGCCTGTCCTGGAGTGCAAGGGTCAGCCGTGACTTTTTTGCTGATTATATTCAAGCAATATACTAACCTGTGGCTAAACTCAGATTAGGTAAGCATAGCTCAGCTGGAGAGAGAGTGCACACACACTCCATGCCAGAAATTTTCATACTTATATAGTTTGGAGACTGTAATATGATGATTGGTTTCTGTGTGTCGGATACCCAGCTGACCAAAAGATAAATGGCATCTAAATTATTACATAAGTTTGTCAAGGTGATTGATAAGATGTAGAGTTTTAAAGAAGCAATCCTGAAAGTAGAATGGATTTACCAGAAAAAAAATGACTGAGCAATGTGTAAAACATGGTTCTTTGGTGACGCAACACAGACTGGTCAGGACCCCAACTTCAGCAACTACGAGCCTTCAGGATGCACAATATCAATGCTACTTTTTTTCCATTAATGTACAACTTCCAACATCCATCAATGGGGTACTGCTGATCCAGAACCTGCAAACTGGCCAACCCATCAGTATTCCTCTTTTTCATCCTGATAACCCTGGTTAACCAGATATTTGTTACAGCCATGTGGCCAAGAGAATGATACTGTCAGGAAGAATGACCATATTTCATTTGGTCGACCAATCATGAGATGAAAACATTGCTACCACTTCTCTGCAAAACACCTACATTTAACAGACACTGTTTCAGTCATGTGATTGATAATGTTAAATAAATAAGCATAAGTAAGCTAATAAATTAGTTTCCAACATAAGTAAGCTTCACTGTTGGAAACTATTGCAGTATTGGCCGTGACATAAATCCCTCAATTTTCATAAAAGATTATGTCAAAAATGTTTGTCATACTCACTTGCACATTGGAAATGTTTAGAAAACACTCAGTTATAAAACCAAGGTTACTAGATGGACAGTGGTGCATGATTGTAAGGAGACAATTATCATAGCACAATAATAATTCAAAAGAAAGGCAAAGGTGGAAAGATTATGTGTCCTCCGAACCTGGGCACTGCAATGAATTTTGCCATTGACCATTAAATAAATAATAATCTTGCCTCTGCAAGACATCTGAATTTAACAGACACTTAAATAAATTCCAACATCCAGCAATAGAGTAATACTATTGATGGATGTTGGAATTTATTTAATAAATTCTATGAAATGCTTTGGGATAGGGTTTTATCATGTCATTTCATAGGATTTGCCCTAAATTGTAATGACGATGTATTTTAGTTTCTCCTCTCTCGAGCATCCTAAGATGCTGTCCGCGTGAAGGGTACTTTATAATTAAAAGTTTCTGGTCTCTCTCTCTCTGATTTTGACGGTGTTGGTCTGACTCTTTTTTGGTCTCCCTCTGTTGCTCTCTGTTAGTTTTTCTCTCTGTATTAATGTCTCTCTCGTCTGTTGCTCTCTCCTCTCTTTGTATTTGTGCGTGTCTGGCTCTGGATAGGTCTCTTTTAAGGGGGAGGCAGAGAGATAGAGTTGGGTATCATCCGCATACATGTGGAAGTTGACCCCATGTCTGCGGATGATGTCACCAAGAGGGAGCATATAGATGTTGAAGAGGAGGGGACCTGAGGAATGCCCCACAAGATGGTCCGGGGGTTAGAGGAGAAACCGTTTGTGGAGATGAAGTGGAGGCAGTGTGAGAGGTACGATCTGAACCAGTCAAGGACAGAGCCGTGAAGGTTGAGATGAGAGGAGAGGCGGTGGATGAGGTCGACGGTGTCGAAAGCAGCAGAGAGGTCAAGGAGGACGAGGAGGCAGAAGGGAGCCCTGGTCGCAGATGGACAGAATGTCACGTGTCCCTTTGACCAGGGCTGTTTCTGTGCGGTGGATGGCACTGAAACATGATTGGAGGAGTTCAGGAAAGGAATGGAAGGAGCAAAGCTGGGAAGCAATGACTCGTTCCAGGACATTAGAGAGGAAAGGGACGTTGGAGATGGGGCGGTGACAGAATGTCTGTCGGACATCAAGTCCTGGATGAGAACTAACTTCCTTCAGTTGAACGGCAACAAGACCGAGGCTTTCCTAAGCCAGTCTTGGGGTTGCTATGTCAGTCAAAACCCTGGGGTTTTGTTTTGACCCTCAACTATCCTTTCTACTCCATATCTGAGCCATGACCCGCTCTGCCTTCCCCCACCTCCACTGTCAGTCTCACACTACCGGCCACCGAGACCCTCATATACACATTCAGAACATCCAGGCTCTACTCTGCAAACTCTGTCTGTATTACTCTCTCTCTCTCTGCATTACTCTCTCTATTACTCTCTGTATTACTTTCTCTCTATTACTCTCTGTATTACTCTCTCTATTACTCCGTATTACTCACTCTGTATTACTCTCTCTATTACTCACTGCATTACTCTCTCTGTATTATTCTGTATTACTCTCTCTATGACTCTGTATTCCTCTCTCTATGACTCTGTATTACTCTCTGTGTTCCTCTCTGTATTACTCTCTGTGTTCCTCTCTCTGTATCACTCTGTGTTCCTCTCTGTATCACTCTGTGTTCCTCTCTCTGTATCACTCTCTGTGTTCCTCTCTCTGTATCACTCTCTGTGTTCCTCTCTCTGTATCACTCTGTGTTCCTCTCTCTGTATTACTCTCTGTACTCCTCTCTCTGTATCACTCTGTGTTCCTCTCTGTATCACTCTGTGTTCCTCTCTCTGTATCACTCCTGTGTTCCTCTCTCTGTATCACTCTCTGTACTCCTCTCTCTGTATCATCCTCTCTCTGTATCACTCTCTGTACTCCTCTCTCTGTATCACTCTCTGTGTTCCTCTCTCTGTATCACTCTCTGTGTTCCTCTCTCTCTGTATCACTCTCTGTGTTCCTCTCTCTGTATCACTCTCTGTGTTCCTCTCTCTGTATTACTCTCTCTGTGTATCACTCTCTCTCTGTGTCACTCTCTCTGTATCTCTCAGTCTCTCTCTGTATCGCTCTCTCTGTATCACTCTCTGTGTTCCTCTCTCTGTATCACTCTCTGTACTCCTCTCTCTGTATCACTCTGTGTTCCTCTCTCTGAATTACTCTCTGTGTTCCTCTCTCTGTATCACTCTGTGTTCCTCTCTCTGTATCACTCTCTGTACTCCTCTCTCTGTATCACTCTCTGTGTTCCTCTCTCTGTATCACTCTCTGTACTCCTCTCTCTGTATCATTCTCTGTGTTCCTCTCTCTGTATCACTCTCTGTACTCCTCTCTCTGTATCACTCTCTGTGTTCCTCTCTCTGTATTACTCTCTGTGTTCCTCTCTCTTTATCACTCTGTGTTCCTCTCTCTGTATCACTCTCTGTACTCCTCTCTCTGTATCACTCTCTGTACTCCTCTCTCTGTATCACTCTCTGTGTTCCTCTCTCTGTATCACTCTCTGTACTCCTCTCTCTGTATCACTCTCTGTACTCCTCTCTCTGTATCACTCTCTGTGTTCCTCTCTCTGTATCACTCTCTGTGTTCCTCTCTCTGTATCACTCTCTGTGTTCCTCTCTCTGTATCACTCTCTGTGTTCCTCTCTCTCTGTATCACTCTCTGTGTTCCTCTCTCTGTATCACTCTCTGTATCACTCTCTGTGTTCCTCTCTCTCTGTATCACTCTCTGTGTTCCTCTCTCTGTATCACTCTCTGTGTTCCTCTCTCTGTATCACTCTCTGTGTTCCTCTCCCTGTATCACTCTCTGTGTTCCTCTCTCTGTATCACTCTCTGTATCACTCTCTGTGTTCCTCTCTCTGTGTTCCTCTCTCTGT